TTAAAAAAAAAATTTACCAAAAAAAAAGGCACTTTCAGCAACATATCCCTTGTTGCTGAAAGTGCAAGGGTTACTAGAAAATGATAGTAACAAGAAGCATTTTTTTTTTAAAATATTTTACTAAAAAAGAAATTAAGGGGCACTTTCACCAACATGCCTCCTTGTTGCTGAAAGTGCAAGGTGACAGGAAAATGATAGTAACAAGGGGTTTTTTTTCAAAAAAATATTTTACCCAAATAAAAAGGAAAAAAACAAAGGGACACTTTTAGCAACATGCCCCTTGTTACTGAAAGTGTAAAAGTGTAACATCACCGGAAAATGGTAGTAACAAGGGGCACTTTCAGCAACATGCCCCTTGTTGCTGAAAGTGCAAGGTGATAAGAAAATGATAGTAATAAGGGGTTTTTTTTCAAAAAAAAATATTTCACCCAAAAAATAAAAAACAAAGGACACTTTCAGCAACATGCCCCTTGTTGCTGAAAGTGTAAAAATATAAGGTGACCGAAGAATGGTAGTAACATCGGGCATTTTTTTCACAAAAAATATATATATATTTTACCAAAAAAATAAAAAAAACAAGGGGCACTTTGAGCAAAATGCCCTTTGTTGCTGAAAATGCAAGGTGATTGGGAAAATGGTAGTAACAAGAGGTATTTTTTCACAAAAAAAAAAAATATTTTACCAAAAAAAAGGGGCACTTTCAGCAAGTGAATATCAACAACAAGGAACACGTTGCTGAAAAGTGGAGCTCAATTGAATGGGAAAGAATTCACCGAAAAATATTAGCAAGATGGAGCATGTTGTTGAAAGTAACTTTTAGCAACAAGAAGTATATTGCTGAAAGTGGAGTAGATTTTCAAGGGGTGGAATGTACATTTTTGTATTGTAGCACTTTCAGTAACATGGGGTTTGTTGTTGATGCCTATTTTCAGCAACAAACAATCTCATGTTGCTGATTTATTGTTGGTAAAAGACAAAATTTTAGTAGTGTATGACCTTTATTACATATTATTTTAATTTTTTTACAATTTTTTCTAATAGTAAAATTCATGATTATTAATATGTTTTAATAGTTTTTACAATTTGTTGTGAATTATTTTATTAGTTAC